CCTGGGTGGCTCAGTCGTTAAGCATCTGCCTTCCGCTCAGGTCGCGATCCCAGGGTCCAGGGATCGAGTCCCAGGACAGGTTGGCTCCCCGCTCCGCGGGAAGCCTGCTTCTCCCTCTCCCACTCCCTCTGCTTGTGTTCCTGCTCTCGTTGTGTCTCTCTCTGTCAAATAAATAAATAAAATCTTTAAGAATAAGAAAATCTTTTCTATTCACCAATGTCGTTTGCAGTGCTCTTCCTTCTTTTGCATAGATACAGATTTCAAACTAGGATTATTTTCCTTTCTTTGAAAGAACTTCCTTAAACACGACTTGTAGTACAGGTTTGCTAGTGATGAATTCTTTCTGCTGCCATCTTTATCTGTGTTCCCTGTACATAACATGTACTCTCTCTGGCTCCTTTTTAAGATTTTCTTTTTATCATTGGTTTTAAGCAATTTGATTTTGATGTACCCTGGGTGTTGTTTCCCTTGTATTTCCTGCGCTTGGAGTTTATTTTTGTTTCTTGTTACTGAGGGCTTACAGTTTGCATCAAGTTTAGAAAAATCTCAGGCATTGTATCTCCAACCCTTTTTTCTGTCTTCCCTTCCTCCCTTTTCTGCTTCCAGGATTCCGAATAGATGTACCTGAAGTCGCCCCACGGCTCACGGAATGCTCTCCTCATTTTATTTCAGTCTTTTTTCTGTGTTTCATTTTGGACATTTAAGTTGTGTTTTCAAGTTCACTAATCTCTCCTCCCACAATATCTGATCTCCAATAACCACACCGTTTTAGCTGTCAGTTGCTGTTGGGAGAGGCTGAGAATTTTTTAAACCATCTAGAAATGGCTCCTTTTTAAAACAGTTCTGTCCTCCGTTTGCATTTTACTACTTAAGCAGCAAGAAGAAATCAGGTGGCACCTTGAACACTGCTTGCAAACCTTGCACACCTAGATCACAAAGCTCATTGGAACGTTCTGCTCTCCGCAGAACCAGACAATAGCGCCACTAAGTTTTCTGCCACTGTGTGAGAGATCCCCCTTCCGCTAGTTTCCGATACCGTGTCCCTCACTTCCTTTTGAGCACTCACTGGCATAGCCCAGATTTCTACTAATAGTCTGTTGAAGGCAGTTCAGGTGCGCTCTCCTCCAAATCCCCGCAGTCTCCGCCCACTTCCTGGTTTCAAAGCCACACCCACTACTCCCAGGTATTGGTTAGAGCAGCATCCCGCCCTCAGTACCACCCTTGGTATTGGTTCTGTTGCCGTGTTAACTATATGCAGCCAGGACCACTATTCATCTCCAGAACCTAGCAATCAATTCTACTTTTTTTAAAAAAAAGGACATGTAAATAGGAAGGTTTTTTAATTTAAAATTCAGTGGCTTAAAATGACATTTACAATCTCATTGTTTCTGTGCCTCTGGAATCCAGGAGTCCAGGGCCTCAGCTGGGTCCTCTGGCTCAAGGTTTTTCACAGGCTGTAATCAGGGCTAGGTCAGGGCGGCAGCCAGCGCAAGGCTCAACTGGGGGATGACCCGTTTCCAAGCTCACTCATGGGGCTGTTGGCAGGATTCAGTCCCTTCAGGGTTGTTGGGCAAGCCACCTGCCGCGTGGGATTCTCCACAGGGCAGCTTGCTTGCTCAAAGCAAGCAAATGAGGAGTGTCAGAGAAGAGTACGGAAACAAGATAGAAGTCAAAGTCTTTTGTAATCCGATCTTGGAAGGGAGAGCCATCTCTTTTGATAGATTTTATCCACTAGAAGCAAGTCTGTACTTCTAGCTCACCTTTAAGGGAGATTATAGCAGGGCCTGAATGCCAAAGGTGGGATAATGGGAAGCCATTTCAGACGCTGCCCAAGACACCCATAAAGTATAGATTTTTCATTTTAGACATTGTAATTTTATCTCTGGAAGTCTGACATGGGTTTTTATATCTTCTATGTCAACATGTTGAATTTTTCTGGCTTTGTGGGCATCTGAAACACAGCTACAACTTTTAATGGCCTGTGTACTAATTGTATCATCTGGGCTATTTCTGGGTCCATTTTATTTCCCTTTTCATTATGGGTTGTATTTTACTGGCTCTTTGCTTGCCTGGTAATTTTTTTTTTCTTTTTTAAGAGAGAAAGCATGCATGAGCGGACAGGGGGGGAGGTGGGGGGAGGGGCAGAGGGAGAGGGAGAGATTCTTAAGTAGACTCCACACCCAGGTGCCTGGGTGGCTCAGTTGGTTAAGCTACTGCCTTCAGCTCAGGTCATGATCCTGGAGTCCCGGGATCGAGTCCCGCATCAAGCTCCCTGCTTAGCGGGGAGTCTGCTTCTCCCTCTGACCCTCTTCCCTCTCGTGCTCTCTCTCATTCTCTCTCTCTCAAATAAATAAATAAAATCTTTAAAAAAAAAAAAAGTAGACTCCACACCCAGCACAGAGCCTGATACAGGTCTCAATCTCACGACCCTGAGATCATGACCTGAGCCAAAATCGGGAGTTGGATGCTTCATCAACTGAGCCACCCAGGCTCCCCAACTGCCTGGTAATTTCTGATTGGAAGTCAGACATGAGGAATTTTACCTTATTGGTTGCTGGATATTTCTGTGTTGCAGCAATTAGCTTTGTTCTGGGACACAGTAAGTTATGGGCAGTTGGATCCTTTTGGGTGGTGCTTTTAACCTTTGTTAGACAGGACTGAGGCAGCGGTACTTTAGTTCTCACTTCACACACTGCTGAGGCAGAACCTTGCTGCATGTTCTACTAGATGCCCTGTGAATTAGGAGGTTTCTCGCTCTGGCCGACAGGAACAGAAACAACCAGGCCCTGGGTGGGCTCCCCCAATCCTCTCAGGTGGCTCCTTCTTTTTTTTTTTTTTTAAAGATTTTATTTATTTATTCATGAGAGACAGAGAGAGAGAGAGAGAGGCGAGGGAGAAGCAGGCTCCCAAGGAGCAGGGAGCCCGATGCGGGACCCGATCCCAGGACTCTGGGATCATGACCTGAGCTGAAGGCAGACGCTTAACCATCTGAGCCACCCAGGCGCCCTCAGGTGGCTCCTTCTATGCCCGGCTGACCAGTGCTTGTTGTGAGACTCAGGGGACCCTAAGCAAATCTCTGCAGTTCTTTGTGCAGCTCTCCTCTTTGGTACTTTATCCTGCCGATCCCACTTGCCGTGGGTGTGAGGGCTCGCTCAGAGCAAAGGCAGGAGGAAGGGGTAGTGGGATGGATGGTTACCAGTAGGTGATTCACTCAATAAGCAGGCAGGGGTCATAGGGTTCCTTTTAAGTCCACAAATTTTAAATTTTAAAAAAGTGTTTAAAGATTTTTTTTTTTATCCTCTCTTAAGTCTATAAACTCTTTTCAGAACCCAATTTGGGGGCGCCTGGGTGGCTCAGTCGGTTAAGCGTCTGCCTTCGGCTCAGGTCATGATCCCGGGGTCCTGGGATCAAGTCTCGCATCGGGCTCCCTGCTCAGCGCGGAGTCTGCTTCTCCCTCTCTCTCTCCCCCTGCTTGTGTGCACGCTCTCGTGCTCTCTCAAATAAAATCTTTAAAAGAAAAAAAAGAACCCAATTCAGAGTCACTGGGCACCTACTATACACCAGCTCCTAAGGTACAGACCAGAACTCAGATTAATAGGGTACAAATATAAAAAATGAAGAAAACCAACACCATACAGGACATAGCACAGTAGAGGCAAAAAATGAAATACGGAAGATCTATCTGTGTCTGGCCTTGTCACGGGTAAACAAAGGGGGTATCTGCAAGTCTTGTCCATGTCATATGCGGAAGGGTGGTTCTCTGCAGTTAGCAGTTTTCCAGAACACAAAAGATGGAGGATTTAACAGTCCCCATTTTCCAGGATCACAGGGCTTGGGTGAAAGTCCACATTATCAGTAGACAGGTTACAGAACAAGAAAACGGTGAGCACCAAAGCAGGAATTTGAAAATACAAGTTATTTGATACTGTTTGAGTATCTCAAGCATATAGGTGTGACAGGAGGTAAGAATCTGGAAATAACACCGGTTGTGATCAAGTCTGAGACATTTCTGTGCCAGCCCATCAGGGTGAGTAATGAGCAGGTCTACGGGCCTCAGCACGTACATGCCTGAGCACAGGCCTCAGCTCTGGCTGCTCGGGGCCATTTCTGGGGTTTGCACAGACAGAGTGGCTAGCTGCTGGCCAGACTATGAGTGTTTGTCCCCGAAAGTCAGCTCAGAGAAGTGGCATTCGGGCAAGGTGGCTCTTGCTTCAAAGCACTCCTGACCAAATAGGTACTGTCTTCCCAGGCCTGGTCTGCAGTTGCTTCACAGAACAGCCATACAGGCATGTCTGCTGACACAGGAAAACAGAATGCTGAGCCGCAGGGGGCAGGGACTCCAAATTTAGAGGTCTTATGTATTTAGCACAGACTTTCAACACTCCCCAGGTATGAGCGCTGTGGCCTATTAGGAGAAGGCTCCTCCTCAAAATAAGTTTTTCTTCGTGACCTATGTGTATGCCTTGTGTGTCTCTTTTTTATGAAACAATCCTGCCTTTTTTGTCTTTCCCTCTTTTCTTTCATACCAGGAACAAGAGAGAAAAAGACATTTCTCAGAATAAAGGAACTAGCTATCAAAGACCCAAGGGCAACACACTGCTATCTGAAGAGGAACCCAGCCTCCCAACAGTATCAAAAATGAATCTGGGGGAGAAATAAGAGGTCACTCTCTGAGAGAAGCCCCAACTGTAGGAGCTGTGTGTATGGTGACTTCCTGGGCATGTGATGGCCTTCAGGTGACCTAGAAGACCTGCACACAGGGGTGCCTCGCACAGAAGGCACAGGGGCTAAACGGTGAACAGGCAGCTCTAGCCCATCCCTCTCTCTGGGCCCTGGCTGTGTCCGTGCCTCAACACCAAGCAGCAAGTCTTCTTTATCTTGGGGTGTGTCTCCCCAGTAGAGCTCCTCGGTGCCTGCTACAAAAGGGGCCTCGATGGAGGTTTGTCACCTAGACGTAGCCCATGCCTGTGACAAGGCAGAACACCTGTAATCAAGAGTGGTCAAATGCTCCATTTCTGTTTACTCAGAACATTAAGATAAATACATCTGAAATATTACAAATATTTATATACAGGAATGACCACTGCCCATGACTGAAAAGAGGTCTGAAAAAAAAAACCCAAAACAGAGTCTCCCAACTTTTTTTAAGCCCTGGACGACCCATGAAGACAGAACTGAGTTCTTGATGCATTTTCAACACAGTTAACAAGCGTTGCATCTACATCAGTTTGGCCAATGCTGGAGGAAAGAATGAGGATGTGGAAAATCCCTATCCAGTGTTGGTGCCGAGCACCCAGCCTTCACCCACATGACCCTACAGACGTCATTTCCTGAAGCGCTTGAAAAGCGGGTGCACGTGCTTCGTGGAAGCCTTGCTCCGAGCCGAGTGGTACTCCATGTACACAGTGTCATCAGCCCCAGACATGGAGCTCATGGTGCCAAAGCGCCGAGATACCTGCAGGGGCACCCAGCCCATGGTTAGTTTCCAAGGGAAAAAATACTCCTTTTGTAACATTTATAATCATAATAAGTTTTATAAACTTTTTAAGTTTAATAAATACTAATTTATGAACATTTATTGACCACTTACTGTGTCTCAGGCATTGTCTGAAGCAGTTTACATGTATTTACATGTGTTAACTCATCCAATCCTCACAATTATTACAATTCCCATCTTACAGATGAGGAAACTGAAGCACAGAGAGATTAAGTAACTTGTCCAAGATCACACAGCTCTTAAAGCGCTGGGACTTGAACCCAGGCAGCTGGCTTCAGATTCCCTATTCTTTTTTTTCTTTCAGATTCCCTATTCTTAGCCATAAAGCTACTGTGCCTCTCTTAATGACAATTTATAAACAGAATTTTTCAACAACGAGGGCAGCAGTCCCCCAACACCTCGAGACTCCACCATTAGGCTCTGAATCAAGTGGAAATCCAGAAAGCCCTGGGCTTGAATCTTGGCTCTACCTCTCACTGGGTGACTCTGGACAAATACTGAATGTCTGAGCCTCAATGAACTCATCTGTAAAATGGGGACAGCCTCATCTGTCTTGACATAAGTGGTGTGAACAGAAATCACACAGGCAAGGGCCTGACCCAGACCGTGGCATACTACTTGCACCAGATTACAAGCCAAGTATGCAGACAGGCACCGAGCAATGCCCTCAACAGCCTGACCTTAGGTGGCTCACTGGTTGGTGGGAATGGCCTTAGTACACAGAGGCAAGAAATTTCCCTGAAGCATCCATCCATGGAGAGTGCCCAGAGGGGGATCCAGCCCCCACATTTGGAGGCAGAATGGCCTCAGGCTGGAGGGAGAGCAGCACCTCCCCAGGGGACCCTGCTTTTCTTTCCTTGTCCCAACCATTGCTCACCTTTTGGCTCTAATATCAATTTAATTTGTTTTCAAGTACCTGACAAAACTGTAGTTTTCTCTGGAAGGGCTGGTAAGAACTCCCCATAATGTTACTTTCATTAATTATACCATATTATATTGGCCTAGCACATGGCAGTGAATATTCAGTAAGTATCTGTAGAATAAATGGAAAGTTCACTATTTTCAGAAAACTCTAAATGTTTCAAGATAATAGTCAAACTACCATGTGAGCTGATCCTCAGACCCACCCTACAGGCTGGAAGGCCCAGCTCTATTACTGAAGAAGGGGCCAGAGCCGAAGTGACCTGCCTGAGGCCCCAGACGGTGGGCCCAGGCACAAGAGCCCCTCCCACAGCCACCCTGCTGTAAGCTTGGGGCCGCCTGTGCCATCCCGGGCCCCACTGGCAAGGCGCTACCAAAACCCGAACCAGACGTGAGGTGAACGGCGTGGGGGGCCAGCTACAGTGGCCGTGGACTTGGCCACGGGAAACAATATGTAAGGAAGGAAGGAGGTGCACCAAAGGGCTAATGGGGGCTGTTTCTGTTACTCTCTTCTCTGCGGCCCCCTGGGCTTTCCAAGTCGTCACAGACGTCACACGTCTAAGACGTTACCCAGGTGCGCACACGCACACACACACACAACTAAGTACACATGCGCGCACAAGACTTCTGTCCTTTGGGAGGACGGACACCTGCAGCCTCGCCCACCCACTCACCTGGCTGGATCTGGAGGCAAACTCCCCTGCCACCACCTCCTCCTCGGCATCCAGGTCGGTGGCCGCCAGGACTTTCTGTAAGAGCTGCTGCTGCTCTTCCCTCGTGGAAAATGCCAGCTCTTCGTCCTCCAGGCCAGCAAGCTTTGTGATCACCTGCAGAACCCAACGCCACAGGCCCCATGTCCCCTTCTGTTTGCCCACCCCCAGGCCCAGCTGAGCAGGCGCCCAACCTCGGAGAGCTCCTCCCCAGCATTCCAGAGACCAGCTTGGGAGCCCCCTGCAACGCGGGGCTCAACTAGTGACTGCAGGGCAGGAGAGGTGAAGGGGATTCCAGAGAAAGCTACTCCCCCAACAGCAGATACAGGATCGCTTACAGAAGATCACTGGGGGCCTCGGCAGCTCTAAAATGTCCCTTCTGGCAGTTTTCCAGCCTGCACCAGATAAAGGAAGGGACCAAAGACAGACATGGCCTGCTGCCCGAGGGCAGGGTCTTCCGCCTCCCCGGCCCGCCAGGGCTTCCAGTGAGAGGGAACACTTAGAAACGAGATCCTGTCCAGGTGGATTTACGAGATTTTTTCTAAGAGAGAAGTCTGGTTTTCCTTTCTTTGGGGGTAACTTACTACACAGCCTACCTATCCCTGAGGAAAGCCTGGGCTGATGGTGTAGAGAAATCTTTTTGTCCCCCTTTAATTCTTCCCATCGTTTTAATTGAAAGAGAAGTCCCAGAAGTAGGGACGTGGCTGAGCCCTTCAAGTGGCCACAGACCCGGAGCACAGATACTGGGCACTTCTGCCCTGGCCCGACCACCCCTCTGGGAACTCCGGGGTCAGGGTTCTGGGAACTCTGATCTGGCTGCTCTCAGCGGGCAGTGCTGAAGGCAAGGCCAGGAAGGCAGAGACTGCTCCGCCCAACACAGACCATCGCACGCCCACGTGCCTTTCTGCCCAGCTCTCCTTTCGAAGAACCCAGAACACTCCCTCATGTGGTGCTTGTCTCCTCCTTGACCCTCCCAGGGATCAGGAGGTATGAATGCTGCCATCATTTACAGACACATAAACAGGCCATCGTGCAACTCCTTCAAAATACGGTCAAGTATCCTGTCCTCCAGCTCAGCATGAGAAGTCTGAAACTGTCACTGCTTCTGGCTACGGAAGGAGGGGCTGGACAGCCCTGACCTCTTGTCTGCAGCTAATAAAGGGAACTCACCAACTTGTAACAAGACGCGATCAAAAGCATCTGAAAAGGCAGCCTGTAGTCTTTTGTAAACCAAGAACCTGGGAACCTGCATGTTCTAGGGACATCCTTTCAGTTCTCTGCTTCCAGCACCCCCATCCACTCCCATAAATAAAAATCTTTGGGGGCACGAAAGCCTGACCTGAACAGGAAAGAGAGCAAACGCGCCAGCTGACAGAGGTCAGCCACAGCTTCGGCAGCCCCAGAACTGTCCGACTGCCCGTCCGTGGCATGCGGACAGCTCTGGCGTGAGGCCCGCTGAGGCCCAGGCTCGCAGCTGACTAAAGGAAGGGCTCCCCCCGGGGGGGCGCCCCATCACAGCCTTCCTCGCTCACATTACAAATCAGGTCTGTGGGCAATAGGAAGTCCTAAGGCTTGGGCTTGACTGCCATTGCTGGCGTAGGAAAGTAACTCAAGGGGCTCAGAGTAGCACAGCGATGGCCACAGCTCCAGGGCATCTCAAGTCCTGCGAGGCTAGCACATTTTCCCACCGACAACTAACACTCTTTTGGCAAGACAACTATAAAATGTAAACAAGTACAGAACCCAAGCCCCTTGCTTCAGAGGCCCCATTCTTTGACCAGTCACTGTGGGAAGCCAGGTGCTGCACAATATTTTCCCTCAAAGTCCCCGGCAATTCATGCCGAGAGGAAGGGAATCTGAGGCAGGGCTTCCAATGCCCTAACGTTCTGTGCCTGTCTGAGCTCTGTCTCACACTGGGGCCCACAGCAGTTCCTACTTCTCTTAGAGGCAAGGGTACCGAAAAAGCCCTGGTTCTATTCTGACCGGAGATCAATGAATACATACCTTAAAGCTATAACCCTGATCTACCAAAAACCTCTGCCGCTTGGTGGAGTAAGCCATTTCCTGTGTGTCCTGGGACACCAACGAGTAGAAGAAGGCATTGTACTCCTCGGCAACCATCCCTTAAGAGAGGAAAGGAGAAAGGACAACATTAGCTGTTACAGTGCCAGGAACCGAGGGTCCAGGGCTCAAAAGTAAGTATAGCTGACCCCTGAACAACACGAGAGTTAGGGGTACCGACCCCCCGCACAGCTGAAAATCCACATGTACCTCTGACTCCCCCAACACTTAACTACTCATAGCCTACTGCGGACTGGAAGGCTTACCAATAACATGAACAGCTGACTAACACCTATTCTGTATGTTATGTGTTACATAGTATTTTTAACATAAAGTAAGATAGAGAAAACATTATTAAGAAAATTGTAAAGAAGAGAAAATACACTTACAGTATTGAACTACAGTTATCAAAAAAATCCCTCACAGTTCAAACCCGTGCTAGTCAAGGGCCAGCTTTGCAGTCAGGGGGCTAATGGCCCCGACTCTGCTCAGGCACTTCATCAAAATTAAAAACATTTGTTTTTTGTTTTTTTAAAGATTTTTTATTTATTTGAGAGAGGGAGAATGAGAGATAGAGAGCACGAGAGGGAAGAGGGTCAGAGGGAGAAGCAGACTCCCCGCCGAGCAGGGAGCCCGATGCGGGACTCGATCCTGGGACTCCAGGATCATGACCTGAGCCGAAGGCAGTCGCTTAACCAACTGAGCCACCCAGGCGCCCTGTTTTTTGTTTTTTTTCTAAGGTTTATTTATTTATTTGACAGCGAGAAACACAAGGGGAACACAAGCAGGGTGAGTGGGAGAGGGAGAAGCAGGCTTCCTGGCCGAGCAGGGAGTCCAATGTAGGGCTCGATCCCAGGACCGTGGGATCACGACCCGAGCCCAAGGAAGATGCCTAATGACTGAGCCACCCAGGCACCCAAAACATTTGTGCTTTAAAGGACACCCCCCCATGAAAGTAAAAAGACAACCCACAGAATGGGAAAAGATATTTACAAAGCATGTATCTGATAAGGGATTTGTATCTGGACTATATAAATTACTATTACAAATCAATAATGAAAAGACAAATGACCCAATTATTAAAAGGGCAAAGAATCTGAACAGACATTTCTCCAAAGAAAATCTACAAATGGCCAACATCCCATGAAAAGCGCTCGACATCATTAGTCATCAGGGAAATGCAAACCAAAATCACAGTGAGGTACCACCTGGCACTCCCTAGCATGGCCAGAATCAAAAAAGATAATTACAGCAATTGTCAAGGATGTAGAGAAACTGGATTCCTCATACACTGCTGGTAATAGTGTAAAATGGTGCGGCCATTTTGGAAGATAGTCTGGCAGCTAATTAAAATGTTAAACAGAGAGTTACCATAGCTGACCCAACAATCTCCTCCTAGATATATACCCAACAGAATTGAAAGCATATGTCCACACAAAATTTGCACATGAATTTCACAGCAGCAGTATTCCTAAGAACCAAAAAGTGGAAACAACCCAAGTGTCCACCAACAGAAGAACGAATAAACAAGATGTGGCATGTCTGCTCAATGGAGGATCATTCGGCAATAAAAAGAAGGAAGTACCAAGGCACCTGGGTGGTTCAGCTGGTTAAGCGTCTGCCTTCAGCTCAGGTCATGATCCCAGTGTCCCGGGATCAACCCCGCATCAAGCTCCCTGCTCCGCGGGGAGTCTGCTTCTCCCTCTCCTCCCCGCTTGTGCTCTCTTCACTATCTCTCTCTCAAATAAATAAATAAAACCTTAAAAAAAAGAAGGAAGTACTACTACATGCTACTATGGAGGACCCTTTTGAAAACACGCTAGTCAAAGAAGGCAGCCGCAGAGGGCCCAGACTGCATGATTCTGTATGTATGCAATGTCCAGGACGGGCACGTTTATCGAGGTAAAACTAAGAGTCGTGACTGCCTGCAGTTGGGGCTAGGAGGCAAGGAGAAAGGAGTGACTGCCAGTGGGAAAGGGTTTCTTTTCTGGAGTGATGAGAATATTCTAAACATAGCCTCTGGTGACGGTGACAACTTTGCAATTATATTAAAAACCACTGTGGGCACCCGGGTGGCTCAGTCGGTTAAGGGTTCAATTTGGCTCAGGGTCATGATCTGGGGGTGATGAGAGCGAGCCCCAAATCGGGCTCCGCACTGGGTGTGGAGCCTGCTTAAGATTCTCTCTCCCTCTCCCTCTGCCCCTCCCCACCCCACTGTGCACACACGTGTGCTCTAAAAAAAAAAAAAGAAAAACCACTGAATTGTACTCTTCCAATGGACCAACTACATGGTACATGAATTCTATCTCAATAAAGTTACCAAAAAAAAAAAAAGGTTCAGAGAGAAAACCTAGGACAGAACTGTCACAGAAACTGGGCCAGAGACACTGCAGCCTATAAAAGCTGATCCTTCCAGACAATCTGAAGATTTTTGCTTCACAGCTCAATTGTCAGCAGGTTCCGTGTCTGTGTACTGCCTCTGAATTCAACTATTTCTTAGTCTTATGAGAGCTCAGAGATGCAAGAAAGCAGCCGAATACCTTATGTCAAATAGTATTTTTTTAAAAAAACAAAATTCTACTCAAACTGGTTTTCAAGTTAGATTTCTTTTTTGGAAGGTGGTGAGTAAGGCTTAAGTTACGAATTACGTTCACATCTGCTAGGCAGATTCTATTCCTGTCAGCTTATAAAAGCTGCCATTTATCCAGCAGCCTCCTATGCTCTGTTACATAAGGCTTACTCCTCACAACAGCCCTGCAAGACGGGATGTACTCCCACTCTGGATGGAAAAGCAAGACTCAGAGGGGCAAACTACCTGCCCAAGGTCCCAAGGTCGGCCTGGTGCCCACATGCATGCTTTCTACTAATGTGCCCTGCCTCCATATTAAATACAGTTAGCTCCCTCCTACACATATTCTAACACGGTACGATTCCAACCTACACCCACCAACCCTGTTTCCGGACACCCTAGCAGTCCAGCTGTCTCCTAAGAAAGGAAAGCGAACACCCCGAGGACAAGGCCTGTGTCCCTGTCTTAGGGCCTCCCTGGTCCCAGGAGGAGGGGCGCCACCATCTCTAAGCAGCAGCACCAGTGCCTGTCACGCCCACTGTTGGGGTCTGGGCCCTTCGACCACAGTTATGAGGCACAGACTCCGACCTCCTGCATCCTCATGCACTGAGCATGTGACAGCCCAGCCGCAAGCTGCCGCCCAGGACAGGGCTCTTCCCAGGTGCTGTGTGAGGCAGCTAGCCGCGGCTGCCCGAGCTGCTCCTACCACGCCCTCCCCTTACTCCGGACTCAAGGTCCAGGCTCCAGGTCCTAGACATCACTGGTGGCCCAGCTCTGCTTTCTCCTGCTACGTCTACACCATGCACACCGCGCTCCTGGTTCCTCTTAACAATCTACCATCACAAGCACTCAGCTGAGCGGATATCCATGTGAACCAGGCAGCTGCCAGGGAAAATATGCACACAGTAACCCCAAGGCATGGAGATAATACGAGCCAGGCAGACCTTGGTCCTGGCTCTGGGATCCCTCCCTGCAGAGTCTACTAGGCCCAGGGGCACGACCTCGCCACTGTGAACACACAGGCAGCTTCCCAACCAACGTGGTTCAAAAGGAAAGACTTCCGGGCGCCTGGGTGGCTCAATTGGTTAGGCAACTGCCTTCGGCCCAGGTCATGATCCTGGAGTCCCGGGATCGAGTCCTGCATCGGGCTCCCTGCTCGGCAGCGAGTCTGCTTCTCCCTCTGACCCTCCCCCTTCTCATGTGCTCTCTTTCTCTCAAATAAATAAATAAAATCTTTAAAAAAAAAAAAAAAAAAGGAAAGACTTCCTGGAGCAGAAGGGGTAAGACCACCTTTACCTTTTTTGGCTCGGAGCACTCGCCCCAGCCTCTGGGCCTCTTGCCGCCGGGAGCCACCATGAGATGAGATCTGAATGAGAACATTTGCTTCTGGCAGATCAAACGATGTGTCGCCCACCTACAGAAATGAAACAGCCGTGAGTCTAGGAAGGTTTTTTATTTGGGACAGAAAGAAAAAAAAAAAATCAATTGGCCCTGAACTTAAATAAGCTCTCTAGATAATTGAGAAAGATAATCACCATCCTCTTCTCTCTGTACCAGATGCAGGCAGGCCTCTAGGACCTACTGTGAATTCTCTGGAGAGCTGTCCTCAAGAAGCCGTCAGGACCCACAGTGCCCACCCGTTGTCTCAGCGACACTGTCAGTACGGGCTACTGGGGCCCAGCGATGAGCGGGTCCTATCAACAGACGCTCTCTGTAAATGATCCCTCTTCTTTTTTTGCTACAGAAACATGTCTTAACAAAATCATTCACACTCTCAACTGGAGGCCACTGAAACCACCGGCACGTGCGGGACACATGACCTAGTAGGGGCCACTGTCCACACTGGGCTGGATCTGGCTCTGGGTAACGGCCTCTGCTTGAGGGTCCCAACCACTGAGATTCCCAAGCACACATCAAAGTTTGGCACTTACTGACCCAGCCATGATCACTTTATTAGTAAATCTCATTTATTTTGAGCTTTGGGTCTGTTCTAATCTGAATGACTGCTCTACACTGTTGGGCCACAGCTTCTAAGAGCTTCACCTAGCTGGGCCTTCATGAGTTTGCATCGTGCTTACCTTGACCACCCACCATCGAGGCACACGAGGAGCCCGGAGAAAGGCCGCCTGAAGCCCACAGCAATCTCTAACTCCACAAAGAGAACCTCATCTGAATGCCTACTTTGGCCACAATAAGTAATGAAAATTTCCCCCTTAGATAAATAAAATATAATTTAAAATTCCCATATCCCCAAAGGAAGCGGGAAAAATCTCAGTCAAGCAAAGAGACTTTATAGATCATCCACAGTACATTAAACCCTGCATCTGCTCCTTCTGCTACCCATCAGGAAGCATTCTGTCCCCAGACACAGAAACATGGGAATGAAAACTGACACGTCATGTCCCTTCAACAAACATGAATTCACTGTCTAGACATCCCCTAGTGCCCCCCTACCCCAGGGGGTGCTGGTACCTCACCACCACCCTGCATGCCACACAGACCTTGGATATGAAGATGGTGTTGATTTTGGGGTTGTGCTTGAAATTCTGGAGAATCTGCATCCTCTCTCCTTGGGATGTAGGACCATAGATATAGGGTCTAAAGAAGAATGAAGCTGCATTAGGAAGGCCACAGAATCACCCCCTCAATTATCCTGAAAGCACATTAGAGGGAAAGGGAGCTCCTGCAAGGTTTCTCTCTTCCAGGAAGCCCTCCATCATGCAAGAATATCAGGAGAAGGCCCATAAAAATGAGTGGCTACAGACCCTCCGCCAACATTCTGGTCACCACTCTCTTCAGGATTCCCTCCTTTACTTTTTCCTTTTTTCTTTGTTTATGCTTTTTCCTGAGTCAGCATCCCTCGATCTAAGCTTCATGTTGACACAAGTAGTGCTAGCACAGAATCCAGGTGGGACTGTGAGCTAGTGAGGACGTTGCTGGTGATTCCTGAGAAGCTCTTTCTAGGTGCAGGGCCGTAGCTGGGATGCTAGCCCAGTCATTCTTGCCTTCCTGGCCCCTGGTCCATAGAGTCTGACCCCGGCTCCACAAGAGTGCTCACTCAGCCTGCCACTCCTGATGCCAACTTGCTCCCACCCTTGGAGCCCAGCTCAAAGATGGTGCCCCACCAAAGCAGCACAACTCTAGCCCCTGATCCCTGGGCTGAGGGTGACCGGGCGCCCTTTTCTATTTGCTCTGACCTCTGAGTCTGACCACCTGCTCCTCTGTCTCACCTGGTTCCTGGCCCTGGGGCCACAGAACCAGACCTTTAGATCCTAAGAAGTTCCTGAGAGCTTCCAGAGAGGAAGAAAAAAAACCAAACAAACCGAGCACCTTCTGCACTCCGGCTTGGAGTAGAGAAGCCGCCTGGCGGCAGCTCCAACTTTTCAATTCTTACTTGTTCAGCCTAATGGCATATTCCTTCAGGGCAAACACGTTGTCAGCAAAGACAATAATCTTGTCATTCCTCCTTTCATGAAACTTGATCAGAAACTGGCAGGCTCTGAATTTGTTGGGGTTCATGGTGTACAGCAAGATTCGTTTCTTGGTTTTAATTGCCACATACTCCCGGTAAAACTCAGGAGACATTGGGCACCAAACCTGTGACACAGTAAGAACCACGGGTCAGTTTGCAAGTTGAAATATCACGTGATTAGAAACTTTCGAAGACCATTCACTTAGCAGTACTAGCTTTAAAATAAATCAAAAAGGGGTGCCTGGGTGGCTCAGTCGGTTAAGCGTTAGACTCTTGATTTCGGCTCAAGTTGTGCGATCGAGCCCCATGTCAGGCTCCAAGCTGGGCATGGAGTCTGCTTAAGATTCCTTCTCCCTTTCCCTCTGCCCCTCCCCATCTACTCCTTTCTAAAAAATTTAAAAAAAAATTATATATATCTATATCTATCTATATATACATATATAAACCAAATCAAGTACCCAATGGTGAACCAGGACATTCTTATATTTCTCTAACACATAGATTCTTAAATGTTATCGATATCCAGGGAATTACTTTTACACCAGCTCCAAGTAAGGGAAATCAGGTTCTCAACCAGTGGTCCAAGTAATCCCTCCTGTTTAGACCACCCCTTCACACACAAGTCCACACACAGCACTGCTATGGAGAACCACACACACAAACTTCCTAGCTCTGTTGTTGAGTCAGCCTAGCAATGATGTCCTAGGAGTAATGAACACACCTAGCACCTAGATCCTGGTTTGTAAATTTCATTCTCTACTAAAAGGGCACCCTGGAGAAATGGTTGATTCCAGGGCCAGGGTGGGTAGGGAAAGTACCAGCTGAGTCTAAAATATCTTCTGTGCCAGAAAGCAAGGAAGTGCTCAAAGAATGATGGGGACATGTCAAACAGATACAGAAGCCAGCTGGATGGAGGTCCCATTGGTTGCATTGGAGACAATTTGATCATTCGAATAAGAATGACAATAACACTGTTGAGGGCCTCCTCTGTGCAGGGCCCTGTGCACGGGCTGCAGGCAAGATAAAGGAAGCTCAGACAAATATACTGAAGTGCCATGGGTTTTAAAGGTCTCAAGCCTGTGAACACACAAAAAGGATCCTCTGGAAACTTTGTACTGAACAGGCCATAAAGCCTATCCTGACAGGCTTGGAATTCTGTGACCAGTGCCACTTCTGTGTGATCATCACAGATCCTTTCTTCACGCTGCAACCGACGTGGAATTAGCTGCCTTCGTTACATGCCGAAACAGGGCTGAGCTCAAATTCCTAGGTTTTGCTGCTGCTGCTGCCACTGTATTTTCTGGCTGCTCTCAGGCCACGTCCTGTCCGTGTCCACATTGGAATTTCTCATTCTTTACCGAAAAAGCAATTCTTTTTTCAAAGTAAAATCTTTAAAATTATGCATTTCAAAGAACATGAATGGTCCATAAACATACGAAACAATACTCAACGTCATTAAACAGGAAAACACATATTGAGATCATAAAGGAATACCATTTTCATACTTACTACGTCAGCAAAAATTAAACAAAAATAAAACTATTATGTGTTGGAGAAGATGTGGAAAAACCTCGCTCCCCCTTGATGAGAAGGTCAACTGACACAAAACAGTTTTCTAGGATGCAACTAGTAAAGTGAACATCCACATAGCCTTTGACCCAGAAATGTTATTCCTAGGTGTATCTGCCAGAACAGTGGACTTCACAGTTGAAGTGAAACTAACATTTTTTTACATCACAAACTAAACATTCATATGCACGAACGGTTTTATTAAATAACATATACCCTTAATGTGAACAACACTGCTTTAGAAAAAATTACCCAAGGCCCCAAAAAACAGGTATAAAAATATTTGCAGCAACACTGTCATAACAGCAAAAAAAAAAAAAAAAAAAAAACTAAGCTCCAAATTTACAGAAACAAAATAAATCAGTGGCTCTCTAGGGCTGGGAGCAGAAGCAAGGATTCATGGCAAATGTGCGTGAGGGAAATCTGTGGCGGCAGGAAGTTCAATTCTAAAACTGGAGTGTGAGGATGGCTACAGAACTCTTTACACTTACTAAGATCAAAGGATTTCTAAATCATAGTATTTACTTACAACAGGTGAATGTTAAGAAACATGAAGTTATACCTCGATAAAGCTAATAAAAAGACAACTTAGCAACCTAAATGTCTGTCAACATTAGAGATTTTATTTTAACTTGCTATGTAATATTCCATTATATATCAAACTGTAATGTATTTGTACAATGGAATACTACAGAGCAATTCAAAAAAATGAACTACAGCTACTTGCATCATCAAAAAAGTAATACAGGGCGCCTGGGTGGCTCAGCCGTTAAGTGTCTGCCTTCAGCTCAGGTCATGATCTCAGGGTCCTGGGATCGAGCCCCACATCGGGCTCCCTGCTCAGCGGGAAGCCTGCTTCTCCCTCTCCCACTCTCCCTGCTTGTGCTCTCTCTCTCGCTGTGTCTCTCTCTGTCAAATAAATAAATAAAATCTTAAAAAAAAAATTAAAAAAAAATAAATAAATAAAATAAAAAAGTAGTACATTCTGCAAGAAACAAAAGCACTAAGAGACATATATAACCAGGTTCTATTTATATACATATACTTTTTTTTCTAAGATTTTATTTATTTATTTGAGAGAAAGAGTAAGCAAGCACAAGCAGGGGAGGAGTAGAGGGAGAGGGAGAAGCAGACTCCCCACTGAGTAGGGAGCCCAATGTGGGGCTCCACACCAGGACTCCAGAATCATGACGTGAGCCAAAGGCAGACGCTTAACTGCCTGAGCCACCCAGGCGTCCCTAAAGACTTTTTTTTAAAGGCAAAGCTAAACAAAAGAGGTGAAGGAAATATACACAGAAGATAAAATAATAAAGGGAAGCAAGAGAGTGACAAACCCAAGTTCCACAACAGTGGATACCCTGGCAGGGGGAGGAGAGAAGCAACTGGAGAGGAATAGGGGGCCTCAGAGATTTCTGCAACACTCTACTTTGTAAAATGGGTGCTGATTATGAAGATGCAACTACAGGGCAGGCAAGTTTTCAGCAGAGCAAGTCCACCTGCACAGGTTCTTCACACTCACCTTTACCCGAGAGGCCCCCTTCTGCCCTTTCACCCCAGCCAGTGAGTGACAGTCACTTCAAGATGCCAGAAAGGATTTTTGTTGTTGTTCCTTGTAAGGAGACTTACCTTTGAACATGTACTTTTAAGCATTTACCCGTGCAGGTATTCACTGCAGAATGAGATCAGGACAATGTGTTTCCCAGTATGTTCAGAAATAAAATGATCTAGGCCACAGGTGCCTTCTGGGGGCATCAAATCCAAGAGGCTTGGACACTGGGGTGGCCTGGATGGTTGCCTACGCAGGACCACCCAAGAATCCCTCAAGGGTGAGGGTGGGTGGGAAGAGCCTGAGGTGCTCCCTCCCAGAGGAGAGGAGCATGGATTTTGGAGTCAAACCAGCCTGGATTAGCATCCCGACTTGCACACTTACTGATTGTGTGCCCCTGGAACGTTGATTCTGCGGAGTGGGAAGAACACTGCCCACCACACGGGGGTGGGGGGCCTGAGGCAACAGGATGAGGTGGCGGCACTTTTGCGTAAGTTCTGACCTGTGCATCTGCCCGTGGAGGGGTGACCTGATCCCTTTCCCCTGAACCCTGCAGGGAGTCCCTCCCTTGGAGACAGTGCTGGGAAGAAGCCGGCTACCTCAGCACACTGGACTTTGGCTATGTAGCCGTTGTTCTGCAGCTCCATCCAGTTGGCTTCGTAGAGCTTGGGCCCAATCAGAAAATTTAAATCGACGATTTTGTCATCTTCCCGGACGAGGGTTGCAGTCAAACCCAGCTTGCAGTGGGCCTGCACGATGGTGAGCACCCGTCGGAACATCTTGGCTAGGGAGACAATCAGTGCATTCACACCGTCACTTTTTTAAATGCTCAAGGACTACACACAGCCTTGTGACTTCACACTGGCCTGGGACACTATGGAGGTTAACCCCCTGAATCACAGGAATCTGGCTCTAGACAAGAGTGACTGGGCAAGAACACTTAATCACCACTTTCAGACCTGTCCAAAAGAGGGAAGAAAAAGAGAACAAAAGGGAGAAATGGCTTTAGGGAGGCTCCAAGCTAGGGAACCCCAGGATCCTTCCTTGCAACAGCTAAGCTACCAGCAGGAGCCCAAATGGCAATTTGAAACATAACCTACAACACTTAAAATACCATTGAGTTCTAAACGATGCAAGGAATTTGCTCGCCCCGAAACTTATATCCAGGTTACAGGAATACGGATGGGTAATTGGGGGATCAGAGGATAGCATATGGATCTGCCCGGCTTCCCACCATCTTCCCAGAAACCAAGGGGACAAAAGGGAGACATGAAACCCCAGGCACACCCTGACCCTGGAAAGTCCCTTCTCCACGCTTTTCCAATTAGATTCATCTGGTCAACCAGCAACCCTGTCTTTCTCTCTTTGGAATGTTATAATTCTTTCTGATTTATCAAATTAAATAAACACACAAATGGGTATGAGACATTAATTTCAAAACACCCAACTGTGGTTTCCATGGGCTCATCTTTTAAAAATCCTAATACTCTGAAAGAAGGTTAAAATGTTTGAGTCATGCTTATCTTCTAATATAATTAAAGGTAACGCTAGTAATACTGCAGAACCAGACGTTAACAATCTGAGGAAGGAGGTGTCACACTGCACCAGAACATAAGCCAAAAACCTAAGAAGAGCAAAACAGCAGAGTACTGTCTAACCCCCAAGTACCAGGACTTCCAAGCCTAACGTGGTTTGCACATACACTTGGAAGACGAAGACCAGAAGCACGGTTATGTCCGAGGACTGTGCCGCTCCAGAAAAGGGTAGCCAAGGACCCCAGACCAGGCTCCTCATGTCAGAAAGGCATGGGAGCCAAGGCAATGGAGACACCAACCTAATGCAGGAGCCAGGAAGGCTGCACCAGATAGCCCAGAGATTCTATCAACCGAAGGGAAGCATGAGTCTCAACCCCACCTGGACAGTCTGCAGCCAGAAAGGCCTTCCTGTGGCATCTGCCCTGCAAACAGGTCACGTCCCACTACCACATTCTCTAACAGCCCTATGGCTGTCAGGAGGAAGAACTCACATACGATACAGTGCATGGCTTGACAAATTTTTACACAGGTATGTGCCTGTGGAATCACCCAGGTCAAGATAAGTGCTCTTAGTACTTGGAAGTCTCTCCTCTGACCCCTCCTGTCAATACCAGCACTCTCCCTCAACAGAACCACGACTAACCGACTTCAGTCACCCAAACTTTCTATAAATACAATCACAATACACACTTTGTGGGTATGACTTATTTCATTGTACGTTATGTCACAGTTGTCATTTGACATTTATTTGTGTGATTTTTTTTGTCCCTCCCACTTCAGCTCCAGTCCAAGCACAGAGCCTGATATTCAGTGGGTTCTTAATAAATACTTGCTAAAATAATGAAGTTGGCACAGTGTCCTGCATGCAGTAAGCACTTAATATATGCCAGTCCTGCAGTGCAAATTTCTTATTAATATAGTGACCCAATAGGACCCTTCTTGGAAGATGTATAAAACACCACAGCAACCTTTACCTTTTGAGATAGATCTCAAAGATTTATCATTCTACCTAATCCAACGTGGCAGATGTTTAACAATCAAGAAACTTACTGTGATTTACTAGAATTCCCTTATTTAACATTGGCTCTCTGGCCCAGTGAGTGTGGCCAGGCCAAGGGGCTCACAAGACTGAATTCAGAATTCTTTATGGCTGTTTGGTTTTACTATCTTACCCAGCCAGAGACAAACTGACCCAGTGAACCAGGGAAGAGACACACATAGACACCCATGGTGAGCGTGAAATTTTGTGCGGGTACACCTCTGTATCCTCATCACCAGGAAACCAATCCCAAGCCTGCCAGCCGCCCTCTAGGACCTGGGACACAGGCTAAAGAGGAACATCAACATAAACTAAATACACACACAAGGAGAAAGCCTCAAGTTTTCCCAAGCTTCAAACATAGCCTCCAACTAAACCACCACATGGCAATTCCAAATTCATCTGTAGGATGTGATTCTCTAGGTCACCAATTTCTAATCCAATCAGACGCAATAGCCCCTGCTCCCTAATTTTTTTTTCTTTTAGTTTTTAAATTAGCACACAGTAAAACTGGTGGGTGGGTGGGACTGGTTCTATAAATTTTAACACATGTATAGATTCATGTAACCACTCCCATAATCAGGGTACGGACCAATGCATTACCCCAAACACTCCCTTGTGCTCCCCCTGTACTGTCACACCCTCCTCAACCCCTGGCACCCACTGATCTGCTCTCCATCACTATCCTTTTGTCTTTTTAAAGGCACCATACACTATATAACCTTCTGAGATGGGCTGATTTCACTCAGCACGTACCTCTGGAGATTTATTTAAGCTGTTGCATGCAGCAACCGTGTGTTCCGTTTCATGGCTAAGTAGTGTTCCAGGGGAGGGATGGACCTGTTTGTCTATCTGGTCACCCACTGCCGGGCACTTCAGTTGCTTCCAGGTTTTGGAGACTCTGACTAGAGCCGCTATAAACATTCAGGAGCAGCTTTTTGTGTGAACCTGAGTTTTCATTCTCTAGGATGAATGCCCAGGGGTGGGCCTGCTGAGTCATATGGCAATTTTCTAAGAAACTGCCCAACTTTTCCACAGTGACCATACATTTTGCGATTCCCCTGGTGACACATGCTAGCTGCTCTGCCCTCTCGTCAGTACTCATTACTGTCACTAGTTTCCATTGTAGCCACTGTGATGGGTGTATAGCGGCATCTCATCTCCTGGTATTAATTTGCATTTCCCTCAAGGCTAATGATGTGAAACATCTCTTCCGATGCTTCTTGGCATCTGTACATTCTCTTCGGTGAAATGTCTATTCTTGTCTTTTGCCCATTTACTAACATCTTTGCCACTACCAGAATGTCCAACTGGCAATCAAATGAATGTGTTTAAAGCCTAACCTTCCCTCTATGGCTTTCAACATCTCAATTAATGGCCACTCTTTCCTTCCAATTACTAAAGCCAAAAACTTACAGTCATCCTTCATTTCTCTTTCTCTCAGATCCCACATCCAGCCAGTCAGCTTCATCCTCACAATACATCCAGAAGTAGATTACCTTTATTCTTACTCTTGCTGGTACCCACCCCACCGCTTCTACCCTTGCCTCCTCCAGTCTACTCTCAGCACCGCAGCGAGGGTGGTATTTTTATAGCCATAAATCAGATCATGTCACCCTCTGCTCAGATCCCTCAAATGGCTTCCCACCCACTCACAGTACAAGCCAAAGGCCATACAGTGACCTATGAGGTCCTACGGCATTTGGCCCACACTCTATCCTGCCTGCCCCTCTCTAACCTTGGCTTTGACTGTTCTCGTCTGTGTCCCTCCCACCACACGGGCACCCTGCTGTGCCAAGTACTCTCCCACATCAGGGCTAACACCCTGTTCCTTCAACCTGAAAGACCCCTGATACCTACCTGGCTTGCTGTGAACATCTCTAGGTATATTCAGACATCCAGGAGTGCTGGAGGGGTTCTCATTGCACCAAAAAGAAAGAACGCTAGGGCCACTTTGGCCATATTTCAAACATGAAAATGCCTCTGATTTCATTTCATTCAGAGAAATCTCAAATTTACACTTCTTAATTTATCAGGGCTCCCCCTTCATTTGTTTTATCAAAAAAGATTTGCCTAGACTACTACTCCGCAATAAAAGGGAAGACGTTATCAATACATGTTATAATATCGATATATCATGCGAAGTAAAAGCAGGCACATATAAGAAAATATGTATTATATGATTCTGTTAATAGGATGTTTCCAGAAAAGACAAATCTACAGAAACAGGAAGCACTTCAGTGGCCCCTGGGGCTGGGGGTGAAAGCACTGACTATGAATGAGTATGAGGGAGAGGTTCTAAAACTGGATCATGGTGATAGCTGCACAAGTTCACAAATTAACTAAAAATCTTGAATTGTACACTTAAAATGGGTGGATTTTATCAGTGGATATTATATCAATATAGCTATTCTTTAAAAAAAAAAAGATTGCTTGCAACACTTGGAAAAGTAGGGCTTCTATAATATATTAAGAATCAATACTTTGGGCTTCAAATAAAACAAACACCACTACGGCAAGGACTTCAGTGCTCCTGGTCCAGTTTTCATGGCACCACAAACCAGTGGGTTAAGGGTAAGCTGAGCTGCAACAGTAAGATGGAGGAAGGAGGGAAATACCATTTTCTGAATGACTATGCTGGGCCCATGATTAAGGAAGCTGTGAAGGGATACACCCATCCACCACCCACCCTCATCCCCACCCCCACATGCTTATGACTTACTTTAAACCTCTACCCAGCAAGCCTTTCTACCAAGATGAATGTACTACACAGCAGTCCTTCCCTCAACCCAACAAGTGGAAATCAATTTCTGTCTCTGAAATGAGAGGGCAACTCAGCTCTCAGCCTGCTTACCTGGTATGGTATGGACTTCATCCAGGATCATGAGGCCCCACTCCTGAGTTTTGAGCCACTCCATGACTCGCTCAGCCTCCCAGGACCTTTTGGTGGTGTGGCCCAGCATGGAGTAGGTGCTAATGGCAATGGAGCAGCCTATGGGCTTGTCCTTGGCGTCGGAGGTGAAGCGGCAGATCTGGCTGTCGTCGATGGTGGACCACATCTTGAACTGGGCTTTCCACTGTTCCACAGACACAGCTGAGTTGCCCAGCACCAGACAGCGCTTTCTCACAGTGCATGCAGCTGTCACGCCAACCAGGGACTTCCCAGCACCTGTGCAAAACCAAAGGGCAATGAAAACCGAGGCCAGGTTGCAATGGACACAGACAGAATGACTCATCAACACACGAATCTGGGCGAATCCTCACAGCTGATGTTGTGAGGCACTTATTGTTCCAGAGCCTCTGTTTTCTTCTTTATAAAAAGGAGACATGCTCAGCTCATGCCAAACACGAGAATTAAAAGAGACAAGGCCCAGTCCCTCCTGTAGCATTTTCCATGAATTCTGTTCAAACACTGAAATCTCCAAACAAACCAGAGGTGAGAGACACTCCCATTGTTTGCCATTTTGAATGTGAGAAAATGAAAGCTGAGGACAACTTGCTCAAGCCATGGGGAGGTGGCGCTGCTGGGGCACACGGACCACAGAGAGGGCTCAGTACAAGGCAGCTGCGCTGAGAGCTCAGGATTATGGGAAAGACGGACCCTACTGGCACAGACAGAAGCAAAATTCCAGGGCTTCCAAGTTACTATCACCCACCATTTGAAGATCAAGATAAAAATCAAGCTCTTCCTTTTAAACAACAATTCCTCTTTTACCAGGCATGTGCATCAAAATCACCCAGGGTGATTTAAAAAAAAAAAGAACTTGAAGGCACAGGCCTCTCCCCTGGAGATTCTAACCTCCTTAAGTCTGAAGTAGGGCCCCCAGGTGAATCTGTTGTGACCTGTGGCCAAGAATGCTGGTTCAGGACCTGACATGACTTAGGACAAATGACATCAGACAGGTGCCAAGGGGGCTGTACGACCCTTTCTTGGACGTGTACACTGTAATAAGCCATCCAGGAATAAACACGCAAAGTTTCTGTGCTAGGAAGTCCCCAAATACACACAACTCACAAGACTGATTGCAAAGAACAAGACCCTAACCCCAGTGTGTAAAATAGCACTTTCCCCTCCTCACTGTCTAACCACTCACCCTGCCTCTTCTCCAGTGCCCAGGATCTGACACTTGGCTTAGTTGATCTGTTTACCCTCTGTCTCTCTACCATCAAAACAAGCTCCGTAAGGTCAGAAGTGTTGTTCTATCTACCAATGCAACCCCAGTGCTGAGCTCAGAGCCCTGCCACTCAAATATTTGTTAAGTCATGAATGAGGGAATCATCTGAACTTCGCTGCTCCCAGGTGTAATTTAGAGAAAGGTACACAAAAGAGAGTAAGGGGAAGCTGTCAGACCAAGACAGAAAAGCCTGACCCACCTTCTTCACTCAAGTGTCACTTACCACAAGGAAGAACAATGACCCCAGAACGGGCACGTCCGTTCCCAAACATCTTCCGCAAGCTCTTCTCCTGATAAGGTCTAAGGACAGCTGTGGGTTTCAGGTCAATGTTGATATCCGGGTTAACAGAATCATTCCGGAAGTCATATTCTGCCAACAAAGGGTACTCCAGGTGGATGCAACGTTTCTGGAGTTCCTCAATCATTTCCTGGGGAGTGAGCATGAAAGAGGTTTTATAATCTTAAGTCCAAAGCATGCTCATAAACTGTACATAATCCAAGGGGCCATTTCCTACATCTCCCTAGGACTTGTGAAGACTGACACACCAGCCTGAGGAATAGGACACGCAGGACTAACTCCATTAGGAGGAACGATGCTACAGCCCAGACACCAAAAAGGAGAAAGCAATACAGGAACAGACGGGAACCCCCTCTCCCACAGACTGCAGAGTCCACGCAGGGCTGGGCCAACTTAGGCAGGGTGCATGCACTAACCTGCTTGACTTCAAAAGACACTGTCTGGGTCTCTTCTTCTTCTTCCTCATCCTTGTCCATTTGTTCATAAAAGTCAAACAGGTCCGTGGGGATGTCAGATTTACCCTGTGGATCTGTCACCCGGGAAGTAGAAGGCCCACCACTGCCTTCAGCAGTTTTGGCAATCTGTAAGAGAAAGGCGGGATCTGGACCTCTATACGACGAGCCCTCCTGCTATCAGACGAGAGCCAAAGTTGCAAGGGAAACTGCAGCTGTAAGAAGACTGTAGGGTCCCAAGGTTGCAAATGCTGAACTAATAGCCCCTGCGAGAGCTGACATCCCAAATGCTCCCACCCCCAAGGGTGACCCAGGAGGCCACCTACAGCAGACTTGCTGGTGAAAGTCTCTGTGATGAGCTCTGTAGCCTCCCCCTCGGAGTTCCGCAGGCGGCATTCCCGGATCACTGGATCCTGGAGAAGATGCTGGATGACATCAGGGTGGGAACTTTCAACGAAGTACCTGCAAGAGGGGATGAAGGAGGGGACTACTGACTGGTACACCATTTCCAGAAGGTTCTGTAGCTCATTTAATCAGATGGTCTGGAAAGAGTGGCTTTGTACCTCTCTCCGCTCTTACTCTCACACAGCCTTGGCCAAATCTGAGCTATGAGCTACTGGCCAAGATACAGCAAATGAGGAGCAAAACACTGCTTTAAAGTCAAATAAGGAGGGGTCTGAGTCCCAGTTCCACTGCCAGGGGGCACACAGTGGCCAGTGAATGAATCTCCAGTCTGGGTCACTTCACTTTGTTTATTCCTTTTATCTCCTTACCCAGCGGAGTAGGTGCTAGCACAGACAGTCCACAGACGTGAGCTCCTTGCCCCCTTCTCTGCACAAGGTGAAAGTGCCTCGGGCCGGCCTGTCACAGAATCCCTTACCTGTTGTGCTTCAGGACCAGCTTGACTTTTCCATAGCTGACAGTACACAACTGCAAGGAGTGACATCAAACAGGCACGATTAGCAATACGCGGCTCACTCAGGACACATTCATTACTGGGCACGTCTTACTACTTACCAAGTGAAGAGCTCATTTTACTTTAGGAAAGCCCAACATGCAATCCTAAAGAGGTTAGGTCTGCCTAAATTGAGCTTTTTCTTATTAATCTCTACTTTTGAGAGTAAAACCTTGCTCTTGCCTGGCTCTGATACACATCCCTTGATTTATAAAATGCTATGTAAAATCTTTCTTTTATTTTCCCTTCCCCTTTCCTCTCCATTCCCACAGGCCCCATCCTAACCCAACGGTTCGTCCAGCCACACCAGCATTATTACAGCTCCCAGCACAAAGCTGGCACAGAGTAAGGGTTCCGTAATGGCTGCCTAAATTAAATGGAAAGCCTCCCGGCCTCCTCACCAATGGTCCTATTTCCCCAACTAGAGTCTAAGTTTCTTGATGGAAGAGAATACAGCTAAAATCTTCCAAGTGCCCAACAATCTTTAGGATGGAACGCAGCAGAGGTTGTGTGGTGGCCATGGAAATTCGCCACTCTGATCTCGGGCTGTGGCCTGCCCCTGCTGCTGCCCTCTGAATCTACCACTGTACTGTACCAACACCTACATTCCTGCAGGCAGCTGCCGGCCAAGACTGAGCACAGCTAGCGTGCTGATGCAGGGTTCATTCCAGCAAGGTACAGGACTTCTCCCTGGACACCTTTCCACATCACAAGAAGCGAGAACTCTCACCAGGGCTCCTGTCAGCTTCTCTGAGATTGGATGCTTTACTGTACTGGATGCCTGTGGCACTCACCTGCCACTCCAGATTTGGGGGTCTGAATCCAACTCCCTTTAGATCAGTCAAGGGCAAGAAACTCACTGTCCATCTCTTCTGAATGGCATTCACCTATCTCTCAGGACAAACCCAAGCATGTTCAACTGCTCTTCATATGGAACCCTAGCCACCTCAACACTTGGAAGTTCTTTTTGACATTCCCAAACAGAAATTGTTGATTATTGGTCCCATGCAGGTATTCGGCCCTAAACAGTTTACCAGTTATATTAGTCTACTCAGCTGCCATACAGAACACCAGAGACTGGGAGATTTAACAACAGAAACATTTCTACAAGTCCACAATCAAGTAGCCAGTGATTAGTTTCTAATTAAGGCTCTCTTCCTGGCTACCTTTTCACCATGTGCTCCTATGACCTCTTCCTTGTGCACACACAAAGGGAAAGAGAGCATGTAAGCTTTCTGGCTGACACTTCTTAAAAGGATGCTCATCCTACTGGATCAGGGCCCCAGTCTTGTGATCTCATTTAACCTTAATTATTTCCTCATTCCAAATACAATCACATTAGGGGTTACGGCTTCAGCGTTATGAATTTTGGAGGGGACACAATTCAGTCCAAAACACCATTCCCTTTTGGCTGCATTCCCAAATAACCCTGGCCAAAAGGGCTGAATTAGTATTCCCAGTGCGTTAGTAACCATTGTCTCAGAGCAACTCATGGGACATGTGGCCTCAGCAAGAACACCATGCTGGATCCAGAAGAGTAGGAGCTCGGGTAATCAGTTATGCGGGCTCCCCACATGAGATCTGAATGGCATTTTCATGACTGCCACAGGCTGAGAGCGTGTAGCATCTGTCTCCACTATTACTACGTTAACAAGGAAGGCAAAAGAGCTGGCCTTAGCCCCCACTTGCCTTAATAAACTGAATAATTCCATCAGGGACTCCCGTTTTGCTGAGCTTCCTGAGGTACTCAGTGATGTCACTGGTTTGCAACCCAACACTGACAGCTGCATACAGGGAGTAGGCAGTTAGTTTGTACTCATGCACATGGGTTGGTCGGCACACTGGCTCTGCGATGGCCACCAGGAAGTCTTGAGCATATTTGTAAACTGGAGAGAAGGCTTCTAAGAAGATGTGGCCATCAGGAGCCTAAGAAACACCAAATGGACACAACAGACAAAGAAATTAATGAGCTGTAAAGACTATTAGACTCTTTCCCAGATCATTATCCAGAAAAGAGAAGCTGCCCAAAAAGTCTTTAACACCCGGGATGTTTTTGTAAGCACTCCTTCGGCCAACTGTGAGACCTGTTACTTTAATCAGATACAAGGAATGGAGAGACAAGGACAGGTTTCCAAAGTCAGGAGCTGCCTCCCACTATTCTTCATAGGGAAAGCCCACCTTATTGGCTATCCTCAAGGTACCTTTTGGCCAGGTTTCAAATGAATGTAGAGTATTAATTACTTCAAGCTGAGCAAAAGAGCTGCCTAGCAAATACATAACTTCCATTAATTTTTTAAATGGAGAATTAAAATAATACATAGTAAATGGCATTTATTCGATAAATAAAAAAGTATTTCCACGCAGGCGGTAGAAATGGAGGGAAGGTGAGTAAGAGGAAGGGCCTGGAGATGAGGGCAGCCCAAGTCTAGCCAGCACATGTGTGCCACGCCTGCTCATTCCTATCTTGGGCTGCTCAAACAGTATGTATGAAAGCTCTCTCCCGGCCAGCAATGGAGAGTAGTACCCTGCATTTCTATTTTGGGTCCACAAAGTCTCGGTCCTGCCCTAGCTGAGGGTATGCTTACCACCCAGAGAGGCCTCGAGGTGTGGTCGTCCTTCAGCGGCATCTGCAGCCTGTAGTCCTTGGCTCCATATTCATCCACTTTGGTGCCGGACTCATCCACCTGCTTCCCGGCCGCCGAGGGGACCGCTTCCTGAGAGTCGTTCCCAGGGACGTCGTCTTCATCTTCTTCTTCATCCTCGTAGTGCCGCTTCTTGGACTTCTTCTTATCTGCAGATACGGATACACAAGTGAGCCCAGCAGGAGGAACCTAGGGCTCCCTCCTAGCGGCATTTCGAGGAAGCCTGGCAGCAGCCGTATTTCCCAAACGCCAGACACTCCTAGCCAAGAGCCACCTGCGTGCCTCTGGCGTGCACTCCCTCAAATGCTTCCCACCCGTCCCACGACACAGGGCGCCCAAAGGTCAAGGATCGCCCCTGGCCCAGCGGCCTGTCGCGACAGCATGTACAAGGCCGCGCGCGAGACACTGTGGGATCGGCAGGCGCTGAGAAACCCGGAGCAGCTACGACACGGGACGATGGGGACGGCGAACGCAGGCAGGCCCCGGCGCGCCCGCGCCACGTCTCACCGCGGTCCCCCCGGTCTCTTTTGCCCATGGCAGCTACAGCACCAAAAAGCCGGTGCCACGGGTCCCCGCGGCGGCTCCTCCCAGGGGGACTTCCGCTTCACACCGGAAACTCTTTCGGCAAACACACAGGAAGTCCCGCCTCTGAGCTCCGGGTCGCAGGGTGGGCGAGCAGGCCTTGGGACTGCGTTTTTTCCGTGGTGTGCTCTTGCCGGAGCCCGTTTTTCGCTCCTATTCCTTCCTGTAGTCAGTCAATGAAGTATTTATTGAGCATGTTTATGGAAGTCCAGGCACTGTTTTTAGCCTCTGGGGTAGGACAGTGAACAAAGTAAGGCCCTGGCCGCCTGGAACTTAAATTCTGAAAGAGATGTGGGCCGTAAACATAACGGCGTTAAGAGCTCCAAGAAGAAATAAAACAGGGCCCAGAGTGACAAGCAGTGCCATTCTAAATAGAGTGACCTCAGAATGCCTCTCTGTGGGGTATCTGGGTAATGGACACTGGGGAAGTTATGTGTTGTAATGAGCACTGGGTATTACATAAGACTGTACCCCTGATGAATCACCTGAACCCCTGAAACAAATAATACATTGTTAAGTAATTGAATGTAAATTTTTAAAAATGAAAAAAATAAATCAGGAGAGTTCCCGGGGGGGAAAAATGCCTCTCTCGAGTGACATTATTCGAGCAAAAGTTCTGAAAAAGTGAGGCAGTATGCTACGTAAATCGCAAGGGAGAACCCCTGTGAGCCTAGGACTCCACCACACAGGTTTGACCTCTAACAGGAAGATGAGAGGGGAGCAGTGTGGCTGCAAAAGTAGGGGAGAAGACTTAGTACCCAGTACTGTACATGTAGTTTAGTGGTTCTCAAAGTGAGGTCCCCTGGCTGCATCAACATCAGACAGAAACGTTCTAACTGAATAGAGGCACAGATGCAAAGTATCAGGCCCCACCCTAGACCTATTGAATCAAAACTCTAGGGACACAACAGTCTTGTTCACAAGATGCTGATTGATGGTCAGGTTTGAGAACACTGATATAGAGCCTTGTAGGCTATTGCAAAAACTTTGAATTTTATTCTGAAATAGGAAACTGCTAGAGATTTTTGAGCAGAGAAATGACAATCTGATTCAATATTAAAAAGTCAATCTACACTAGCTGCTGTGTTGAAGATAGCCTTTACAAGGTCACGGGCAGTGATTGCAGCACTCCGGTTGAGAAATGCTGGCTTTACCAGGGTGGTAGGGGTAAAGGTGATGAACAGTGGTTCCAGTCTGAATGTATTTTGAAAGTAGAGTGGGAGTTGCTGACTGACTGGATATGCAAAGTGAGATAGAGGAGTAAAGGATAACTCCCAAGATTTTTGGCTTCGGCAACCGTAAAAATGATGTACCTTAAAGAACGTACAGGTTTGGAGGGTGGTTCTAGACATACTGAATGTGAGTGGCTGTATTAGTCCACTTGAGTGCCATAATAAAATGTCACAGACTGTGTGACTTAACAGAAATTTATTTTTCCACAACTCAGGAGGTTGGAAGTCCAAGATCAAAGTCCTGCTCTGTTCCTGGCTTGCAGATTAGCACCTTCTTGCTTTCTTGCTGTGTCCTCACTGTGGGGTTGAGGGAAGGGCAAGAACTCTGGTGTCTTCCTCTTCACATAAGGACCCCAGCTCTTCCAGATTAGGGCCCCACCCTTATGACTTCATTTAAATTTTATCACTTCCTTAAAGGTTCTGTCTCCAAATACGGTTCACAATTTCAGTTAGGGCTTCAACATACGGCTTTTGGGGAGAATACAATTCTTCTGTCCATAGCAGTGTGCTAATAGACAATTAAATAAAATGTCAAGAAGGCAGTTGGATGTAAGCCTGAAGCTCAGGGACCTAGAAATATAAGTTCGGGAATTGTCAACATATGTATGGTACTAAGCTATAGAACTGATGGAGGCTGCCTAGGGAATGAATGTAGGTAAAGAAAAGTTTGGGATACATTTTATAGTGAAGAAGCTGGAAGGTGGAGAAGTGAGGCAAAACCAGTCAAGGAGAGAGAGGTAACGAAATGAGGAGACCTGGAAGTCCTGCTTTCATTTGACAGCATTTCGGGGTAGAGGAAGTGATCAGCTGTATTAGCTGCTGCTGATCAGCTGAGCAAATTGAAGACTGAGATTCAGCCATAGAATTTGCTATGTAGAGATCAGTACTCTGCTAAATGGCTTTCAGTAAATTGAAGGGGTATTGGTCCCTGCTCTAAATGAATTTCACTCAAGAAGTAGAGGAACCATAGCTTTAAAACTGGATTTTCCACTTTTCGATTTTCCATCTGGTTCAAATACTACATGCCATGTAAAAATCTTGGAAAACAGAGAAAAGCATTGTGAAGGCTATTTATTTTTTTAAGATTTTATTTATTTATTCATGAGAGACAGAGAGAGAGAGAGAGAAAAGCAGAGGGAGAAGAGATCACGACCTGAGCCAAAGGCAGACACCCAACCATCTGAGCCACCCAGGCACCCGCGAAGGCTATTTAAATCATAAATAATACCACCCCTAGCTATTTACATTTTGGTTTATTTTCTTCCAGGCTTTTTTTTTTCCTGTGAGTAGGTGTTTTTATACCATGAAGATGTTATTTGGACATATGATTTTATAATCCTAACAAGCTTTTTTCACCCTTTGTTAGAATGAGTGTTTAATGACTTTAATTTTTCATGGTATCACAATATCATGATTTATTTAGCCAAGCCCTAATTTGGGGGCATTGGAGTAGTTACAATTTATCCTATTATATAAGTAGTTCTGTGATGAGTATCATCGGATATAAATCTTTAATTGTATCTTAGATTATTTTCCCAAGTCGAGTTTTGAGAAATAGAAATACTGGGTTAAACATATGGCCTTTTTAAAAGTTCTCACTGCCAAATTTGCTTAATTTTAGTGAAGGAAGTGATGAGGAAGAATGGCTAATCTAACATTTTCATAATTAAAATATTTTGTGAACTAATATTTCACAAGAATACTCAATGGGAAAAGCATAATCTCTTCAGTAAGTGGTGTTGGAGAAACTGGATAATCACATGCATGATGAATGAAATTGGACCCCTATTTTACACTACTCGCAAAAATACTCTAAGTGGATTAAAGGCTTAAATATAAGATCTGAGACCATATAAAACTCCTAAAAGAAAACATAGGGGAAAAACTCCTTAACATTGTTCTTGGCAACAATTTTTGGATGTGATACCAAAAGCACAAGCAACAAAGGCAAAAATAAATAAATGGGACTACAATAAACTAAAAAGTTTCTGCATAGCCAAAGAAACAATCACAAAATGAAAAGGCAATTTATGAAATGGGAGGAAATATTTTCAAACTATATATTTGATAAATGGTTACTATCCCAAAATAGATTTTAAAAACTCAGTAGCAAAAACTCAACCCTATAGCATAAAAATAAACAATCCAATTTAAAAATGGGCAGAAGAACTGAATATTTTTCCGAAGAAGTCATACAAATGGTCAACTGACACATGAAAAGATGGTCAACATCACTAATCATCAAGGAAATGCAAATTAAAACCCCAATGAGCTATCACCCACACCTGTTAGAATGGCTATAAGATATAACAGATGTTGGCAAGGATGTAGAGAAGAGGGAACTCTGGTGCACTGTTGGTGGGAACATAAATTAGTGCAGCCACTATGGAAAACAGTATGGAGGTTCCTCAAAAAATAAAAAATAGAACTACCATATGATGCAGCAATCTCACTTCTGGGTATTATTCTAAGGAAATGGAAACAGGGTCTCAAAGAAATATCTGCACTCCCATGTTTACTGCAGCATTATTCACTATAGCCAAGATATGAAAACAACCTAAGTGTTTGTCAAGGTATGAATAAAGAAGATGTGATATATATATATACATACACACAGTGAAATAGCCACGAGAAAGAGGAAAATCCTGACACTTGTGACAAAATGGATGGACTGTGAGGGCATTATGCTAAGGGAAGTCAGATGGAGAAAGACAAATACAGTATGATATCACTTATAAGTGAAATCTAAAAAATATCTGGACTCATAGAAACAGAGTAGTGGTGGTTACCAGAGGCGGAGGGGATGGAGGAAATAGGGAGTTGCTGGTCAAGGAATAATATTTCCAGTTAGAAAATAAGTTCTAGGGAGCTAATCTATAGGATAGTGATTATGGTTGATAATACTGTATCATAGGCTTGAAAGTTGCTAAGACGGTAGATCTTAATGTTCTCACCAAAATAAAGAAATGGAAGCCATGGGATATAATGGATAATGCTTTGGTGGTAATCGTACTGCAATATATAAATGTATCAGGTCAACAGATTGTATTTCTCAAGCTTACACAATGTTATATGTTAATTATATCTCAATAAAGCTGGGGGGGTATTTTGTAATATGCAAGAACACCCACATTTATCATAGAGGTTTAAAAATTACATATAAGCAAAAATAATAACCACTCATAACTCCACCACTTGAGTGACATATATATCCTCCTGATATTTTTTCTATTTTTTTAAAGATTTTATTTTTTTATTTGACAGAGAGACACAGCGAGAGAGGAAACACAAGCAGGGGGAGTGGGAGAGGGAGAAGGAGGCTTCCCACTGAGCAGGGAGCCCAATGCGGGCCTCGATCCCGGGACCCTGGGATCATGACCCGAGCAGAAGGCAGACGCTTAATGACTAAGCCAGCCAGGTGCCCCTTTTCTAACTATTTTTAAGTAAAAAGTGGGATCATACTATACATCTCATGTAACTTGCTTTCTTTTAGTCAGTAATAATATGTGGTGAAGAGTTCCATTGTTTGGGTATACTAGTTTATTTGCTCAATCCCTGTGACGGTTCATTTTGTGTGTCAACCTGGCTAGATTATGGTGTCCAGTTGTTTGGTCAATCACCAGCTTAGATGTTGCTATTTAGTTTTTAGATATAATTAACATTTACAAGCAGTAGACTTTAAGTAAAGCAGAATATCTTCAATAACGTGGGTGGGCCGCATCCATTCAGGGAAGACCCCAAGAGAAAAACAGGTTTCCCAAGGAAAAAGGAATTCTGCAACGCAGAAGTTTTGCCTCTCTG